CTGGTCAACATGGTGAAACCCCATCTCTACTAAAAATACAAAAAATTAGCTGGGCATGGTGGTGCGTGCCTGTAATCCCAGCTATTCAGGAGGCTGAGGCAGGAGAATTGCCTGAACCCAGGAGGCGGAGGTTGCGGTGAGCTGAGATCATGCCATTGCACTCCAGCCTGGGTAACAAGAGCGAAACTCCGTCTCAAAAAAAAAAAAAAAAAAAAAAAAAGAGGTGAATTGTCTTGATGTTCATAAGTTATTTTACCTGTACCCATACACAAAAAAAGCAAAAAGGTAAGATGTTAATAGTTATCTCTGAGAGTGTGTATATGGTATTAGTAGTATTGTTTTCACTGTTTTCAGCAAGTTTGACATTTCTCATAATAGAAGGGAATGCTTTTAGAGCTCAATTGAGAGAAATAGTGTTTATTGAAGATGGCTTTATGATATGCAGTGCATTACTGCAGTTCCATGACTATCAGGGATTTGTACCTACATTGTAAGCCTAAGAATAACTTTGTTGCACTCTGTTTAGACATTATAACACTGGCCTACATTGAGAACCAGAGTAGAAAACAGTTCTGTGAAATGCTTTGTGTTGTAAGGACGTTTTTAAGAGTGTTGCTTACTGTATCACATGGTGTAGGAAAGATGAAACTTTACATTTCAGTAACAAGAATAGCTGTGCTGCTTCTGAGAAACTGGATTTTTGGCACGTTACAGACATTGAGTTATGTTTTACTGGGTGCTAGAAAGCTCAGATCTCATTGGTGGCCCACCTCTAGCAAGGGTACTTTCCATCTGCACTCGTGACTGCTTTGCAATTTCCCTCCTGCCCTCACTTTTCTCTCATTCTGATTCCCTCTTCTATTTTTTGGTTGTGTTTGTAAGATACTTTATGTCCAACAGTGTTTTAGCCACATTTAAAGGACATTAAATAATGTAGTTTATGATTTGAAACTCACAGCCTAAAAGTCAGATTTTCATGTTACTGATATTAGTTACATGAATTCTTGCCCCCAAATCCAGGCCAAATTTAGAATAAGGGACTGTTTCTAGCAAATTTGAAAGGACGTACTTTTAAAAATATGATTAAATAAGATATAAAAGTTTCTATTTCTGGAGTAACGTTGTAGCAGTAGTATCATAAAATACCTTATTTTAGGGGATGAGTAATACAGGGAAAAGAACAAAGTCAGTTTATGGAAATAGATTTTTAGCGTTGGAATTGGCACTGGCATTTTTCTTTGAGAATTCATTTTTTGATTCTGTTTGTTTGTTTGTTTGTTTTCAATTAAGAGGAGTAACTAGGCCTTTATTTTACCTTTGGAAATTCTGAAATAATTATTATGTACAAAAAAAAAATCCTAAGGAAAAATTATTTTAGTTGCTTTTGAATGGTATTCAAATTTTTTTCACCTACCATAGTATCTTCTTTCTGTTAATTGATACTTTATATTTTATAAAATATTTTTCAGCATCAGCATGTTGATGCAGATATAATATTTACAATTTGCTCCTGCTACCTTCTTGGGATTTGAAGTCCTTTCTCACCCAACTTCTGTGTGGCATTACTGTGTTAAAGGTGTATTGTTTGACAATAAATAGAATGCTTAAAGCATCAATAACAACCCTTACTTTAAAATATATTGTTGTCTTGGCTGGGTGTGGTGGCTCATGCCTGTAATTCCAGCATTTTGGGAGGCCGAGACAGGCAGATGGCTTGAGGCCAGGAGTTTGAGACCAGTCTGGCCAAATGACAAAGCTCCATCTCGACTAAAAAAATATAAAAATTAGCCAGCATAGTGGTGCATGCCTGTAATCACAGCTACTTAGGAGGCTGAGACAGGAGGATTGCTTGAACCCAGTAGGCAGAGGTTGCAGATCGCACCACTACACTCCAGCCTGGGCGATAGAACGAAGACTCTTATCTCCAAAAAAGAAAAAAAAAAGTTGTATGAATGGTGGCTAAAACATTATGTATATATTAAGTAAGCATGTCTTTTGATGTTCCTTAAGTTTATTCTGACTTTGAAAAGTATTCATTTGATAAATAAGGGTTTCTTTCACTGATTCCTAAGTTCAGTGGACTCTTCCACTGAAGATTCTTTTTTCTCTTCAAAAATCTGGAAAGTAACTTGTTGGAACTAAATGACCTTTATAGGCTTTTGTATTTATAAAACTTTTGATTTTGTATTTGGGCATCCTTAAATCTTAACCTTAATTGTCTATGATCTTCTACCATAAGGGATATAGTAAAATTAATTGCCAAAATAGGGTAAATTTTAAATATAAATGTGAATAAGGTAAGATTGTAATTTCCTTTGCCTCAGGCAGAAGGATTCCTTAAACTAGGATTAACTTTCTTTGCTCACATCTCTGAAATTCACTTCTATTATGCCAAAATATGATAAAACAGGTATATACTTCTCTTTTTCTCTGCATCTATTTTTAAGTGAAAAGTACTATTCTTTTTCATTCTTACTTTCATTAATTTGTTAACACATAAAAATCAAGTTTAATTTTATAGTAGTGCCTGTTAGTCATGTGAACTCTGTACAACATATCTATTTATACTGCTTCATACATCACTCACAGGACAAGTTCCCACAAAGACCTGTTTTGTTCTATTGTTGATCCACCCTAAAGAAACCAGTATGCACAGCTTTGTAAGTTAAGATGAACTTATCAGAAATTGGATACAGAAACAAACAAGAAACCAAAGAATGCTTCCTAGTTAAGCAGAATGTGTTATATGTAATAAAATTGCAGAAAATGAAACATTCTGTGTTCCAAGAATATTCTAATTAGGAAGTTAATATCACATTCATATTGTAGTCATAGTTCAAACTCATTCAGTTAAGGAAGTATAAGTAATGCTTAATAAGTTGTTCTAGACAACAGAGAAGACAAATGATGAATGTGAACTTTGATTCTGTGTTTCTTAGCTAGCTTTATCCATGATAACTATTAATAAGTATCAAGATTGAGAGGAAGAGAAGTTTGGTGTGTAGGTACAGATTCCCTTCTTCTGGAAGCAGTTAGAGGCCCAGAGAAAGGAGGGATGATAGTAGCATGCAGAACTGGGACTCACCATCTATGTCCAGAAGGAAGGAATACACGCACGTACCATTCATAACAGAATATATTTCTCATCCCAAAGTTAAACGCAAACACAATATATTCACATATCCTGATGGTAAAGTTTCCTTGAAGAAACAGAAAAATTAAATAAAATGGAATATATTTCACAGTTTAAATTTTTTGTGCAATATTCCTGAAATATTCTCTCATTGAATAAAGGTTTTATCAAATATTTTATCTATTTCTTTAGAACTTTGAAGAATATCAAGCTCTGTTCAAAAGTTGTTGTTTCTTTCAGATGATCTGATCCAAACATTGTGCTTTTAACTTAATATCTAATAGCTTCCCAAAGAATCTGCATATTTGTGATGCATTTCTTTCTCTCCTTGAGAAATTTTAAAAGGAAACAAAAGAAGCAAAGAAAATTTTAAATGTCTTTTGCTCATTATTCCAACAATAGGCAAAGACCAAGCTTCCACAGCCAAAGCAAACTAGAGAATTCTCAAGAGTACTCAGTAAAAATATATAGTCTATGTCCTGAATCAAATGAGTACGTTACAGAAATATGAAACTATTAGAGAAAATACATGACACATGTAAATTTTCCTGCCTTCTTTCCCAACACATTTTGAAAAGAAAGTTGTAATAAGAAGATCTTTTCCTTATAAAGCCCTTTCTCTACCACATAGTCACATGAGAATATATATTTTTTAATTTTGAAGAAATCAGGTTAGTAGAGGGAACTTTTCTAAAACTTTTTTAACATGAGAATTCAAAAGGATAAAATTGAGTAATGAAATGCCTTTTTGCTTCCAGCTGCTTCTGGCACCCCTTCCTCAAATTTCAGTCTGTTCTGCCCTACAAACTGACAATTCAGGACAGCCCAACTTCTCTGTTTAATTCCAACTCACAGGGAGAATTTGAATTGTAGAAATGATAGTCTTCAAATATTAGCTAGGTTTTCTTTTTTATTATTATGTTTTTATTGAGATATAACTTACGTATCGTGAAATATACATATCTTAACTATACAGTTTGAGTTTTGACATGTATACTTCAGAATCAGTTGGGAGTTTAAAAATTTTCTAGATGAGGTCTGGGCGCAATGGCTCATACTTGTAGTCCTAGCACTTTGGGAGGTCAAGGCAGGTGGATCATTTGAGGTCAGGAGTTCAAGACCAGCCTGGCCAACATGGTGAAACCCTGTCTCTACTAAAAAATACAAAAAATTAGCCGGGCGGTAGTGGCACACGCCTGTAATCCCAGCTACTCAGGAGGCTGAGTCAAGAGAATCACTTGAGCCTGGGAGGCGGAGGCTGCAGTAAGCCAAGATTGTGCCACTGAACTCCAATCTGGGTGACAGAGTGAGACCCTGTCTCAAAAAAAAATATTCTAATGATTCTGAGCTACACCTAGTTAACAACCATTGCTGGCCAGGCACCGTGGCTCATGCCGGTAATCCCAGCACTTTGGGATGCCGAAGTGGGTAGATAATTTGAGCTCAGGGGTTCAAAACCACCCTGGGCAACATGATGAAACCCCGTCTCTACTAAAAATACAAAAAATTAGCTGGGCACGGTATCGTGCGCCTATAATCCCAGCTACTCGGGAGGCTGAGTCAAGAGAATCACTTGAGCCTGGGAGGTGGAGGTTGCAGTGAGCCAAGATTGTGCCACTGCATTCCAACCTGGGCAACAGATTGAAACTCTCTGGGGACAGGGTGGTGGGTGGAAGAACCATTACCTTTGTAAAAAAAAAACAAAAAACAAATTGAATAACGTACATAAAAATATATAATATATCATAAAATGTTATGCAGATTAAGGTTCAGTTATATTTTAAAACTTACATCTCATGCACTCTTATGGGATTTACAATGCTGGGTCACCTGAAATTCTCAATTTGTCTTTCTGTTTGTTTTTAAGAAAATTAATGCAAAACTTCATGATGGAGTATGTCAGCACTGTAAAGAAGTTCTTGAGTGGCGTGTAAAATACAGCAAGTACAAACCATTATCAAAACCTAAAAAATGGTAAGTTAAGATTCTTCATTGCCTTACTAGTGGTATATGTATCATAATTTATTATTTCATTTCCTGATTTTCAACATTGTGTCCAAATAAATGTTAAAGTAAATATAGAAAAAAATCCACTCTACCCTGTAGAATTTCATCTTGCCTGCTAAATCTTGGTTTGTGAAGGCAGGCAGATATAAAAAGTAAATTCATTTTCTGCCCCATTCTTTCATAAATATGCATCATTTTTATAGAACTTTATTCATGAAAGGTGGGTTAGGGCTGAGAAGAGACTGTTTTCCATAATTCTATCTCCCACTGATAAGGTAATACTATGCACCATAGATTATCTTTACCAATTCTTAAAAGGGATCAGACTTTTTAATTCAACTCGTGAAGATTACTGAATGGCTTAGATTAAAATAAATTAATCACTAGATTGATAACTTATAATGTTATTTATTTGTAGATTTTGTTTCTGAACTTTCCATCCCTAACTCCTTTTTTCTTTTCCTTTTTTTTTTTTTTTTTTTTGAGATGGGGTTTTGCTCTTGTCACCCAGGCTGGAATGCACTGGTGCAATTTTGGCTCACTGCAACCTCCGCTTCCCAGGTTCAAGTGATTCCCCAGCCTCAGCCTCCAAAGTAGCTGGCATTACAGGCACCTGTCACCACGCCTGGCTAATTTTTTTTTGTATTTTTAGTAGATACTAGTTTTCGCCATGTTGACCAGGCTGGTCTCAAACTCCTGACTTCAGGTGATCCGCCTGCCTAGGCCTCCCAGATTATAGTCATGAGCCTGTATCTGGGATTGCAGCCTTGAGCTACCCCGCCTGGCCTTAACTCTTGTGTAATTCTGGGGTTCTCTTATATCAGCCTTCTGTGCACATCCTCTATAGCTCCCTGACATCCTTCAGCTCATCTGTGTAAGTACAGTATTGGAGGGTAATTGCTGAATGAAAGAGAAAAGTGATTATCTTAAATAAAAATTAGGATTGTTCCTTTCACATGATAAAATTTAATTTGGTAATCTGCCAGGTGCGGTGGCTCACGCCTGTAATCCCAACACTTTGGGAGGCCGAGGCGGGTGGATCACGAGGTCAAGAGATCAAGACCATCCTGGTCAACATGGTGAAACCACGTCTCTACTAAAAATATAAAAAATTAGCTGGGCATGGTGGTGCGTGCCTGTAATCCCAGCTACTCAGGAGGCTGAGGTAGGAGAATTGCCTGAACCCAGGAGGCGGAGGTTGCGGTGAGCCCAGATCGTGCCATTGCACTCCAGCCTGGGTAACAAGAGCGAAACTCTGTCTCAAAAAAAAAAAAAAAAAAGAAAAGAAAAAAGAAAAAAAAATGTGGTAGTCTACATAGTAGCTATTTAGACTACATTTGCTCACTGTTGCCTTATTTTTCTGACTATTCAATCAATAGTTTCATCTTTGAATGCATTCCTTCCTCCTTTATGGGAGAAAATTTTGCTTAAAGTTTAGAAATTTAGTCTAAATAATAGATAGAATATGACTTTTGCTTATTTCTACTAAAAAATTATGTTAGCTTTTTGCAAATCTAAAACTCAATATATAAAATAATTTGTTTACTTCAAAATATTAAAACACTGAAAGGTAAAAGCGTCAAAGAAGGATAAACTAACTTAAGCTTTTTACATTTTTTTTGTACCCCCTTTTGGAGTAGACTATTTAGTATTTATTATAGGTATAGTTGAACCTCCTTTTTATTTATTTATTTATTTATTTTTAAGACAGGATCTCACTCGGTCAGCCAGGCTGGAATGCAGTGGCACAATCTCAGCTCACTGCAACCTCTGCCTCCTGGGTTCAAGCAATTTTACCACCTCAGCCTCCTGAGTAGCTGGGACTACAGGTACATGCCACCATGCCCAGCTAATTTTTATATTTTTTTGGTAGAGACAAGATTTCACCATGCTGGCCGGGCTGGTCTTGAACTCCTGACCTCAAATGATCCACCAGCCTCAGCCTCCCAAAATGCTGGGATTATAAACATGATCCACCCCACTTTTAAATAGTTTTTACCAGCTTCTTGCTTCTTTTAGTCTTTTCTTCTGTTCTGTAGCATTTCCTCCCACAAGAAAACACTTTTAAACAAGTCTGATGAGTTTTATGCTTAGTGGCCCAAACTAGCAGTAAAGAAATTTGGCAACTATTTGTTACCCAATTTTAGATTTCCATGAATGAATTAATTGTGTTCTCTAATAGAAAAATTAGATGTTGATTACAAAGTAAATCATGTAGTTTTAGTTTATAGGCCTTGTACAAGATTTGTAGCTTTCTGAATATTTTCTTTTTTTTTTTTTTTTTTTTTTTTTTTTGAGACGGAGTTTCGCTCCTGTTACCCAGGCTGGAGTGCCATGGCGCGATCTCGGCTCACCGCAACCTCCACCCCCGGGTTCAGGCAATTCTCCTGCCTCAGCCTCCTGAGTAGCTGGGATTACAGGCACGTGCCACCATGCCCAGCTAATTTTTTGTATTTTTAGTAGAGACGGGGTTTCACCATGTTGACCAGGATGGTCTCGATCTCTTGACCTCGTGATCCACCCGCCTCAGCCTCCCAAAGTGCTGGGATTACAGGCTTGAGCCACCGCGCCCGGCCAGCTTTCTGAATATTTTCAACAAGTTTTTATTCCTATAAAGGTATTTTAAGATTTCATCATCCATCTTCATTTTCTCTTTGTTTCCTAAAAGAATTTGAAGCGTAGGCAATAAACAACATTTATGTCATAGCGTTTTAATAGATTAGTGCTGTGTAACAAAAGAAATAATTTAAAAACATTCCTGCCTTATCCATCATCTGTATTTAAATCTCTTATCTTTAATATTTGCTAAATCCTATATGTTTGTCTTCATTTTGAATGTGTCAGTGTGTAAAAGGTCGCATCAGTTATTGTAAATTTTCCAGATGCTATATTTTGCTGTAGAACTTCTGAACTCATGTATTTTTTTTCTCAAGACAGAGCGAGACTGTCTCCAAAAAAAACAAAAAACAAACAAAAAAGGAAACTGCTAGTTAAAACAAGATCTTGTAGAGGAGGAAAAAAATCCTTTCCTTCTGTCCTTCTAAGTTCTCACCCCTGGCTCTGTAACAAAAACCAGATTAGCAAGAGAAAAATATACAGATTTATTTAATGTAAGCTTTATGTGACACAGAAACCTTCATAAGGAAACGGAGACCCAAAGAAATGGGTAAACCTATGTGTTTTTATGCTCTGTTTGATGAAGAGTGGATAATCATGGGATAATGTGTTAGGGGACGAAAACAAAGGGGCATGAGCTAAGCGTAGTAAACTAAACAGCAAGGTCTGTTCATTCAGCTGCCTCTTACTGTTTCTCTGTAAGAGAAAGAGAAAGAGATAATGATGATCCTTTCCTCTAGGTATAGAGGGCACCTCTTGTAGTAAAGTCTTACCTACTTCAGGGGTGAATCAGAGTCCTTCCTGCATCTCCTGTTTGTCACATTTCTTCAGCTCAAAATACTTAGTATGCCAAGGGACCATATTCTGCAGTAGCATGTTCTGAATCCGATCAGTCTAAACATATTACTTAGGAGGTTACTTGCCTGGCCTAGAACATCATGTATTTCAGATGGTCCTGAACACATGGCACATTAGATATATTGGAAAGCCTAGCTTTCAAACTCCAATCCTGGATTGAAAGTATTATAGAAAGTAAAACTGACAATTATTCACATTGCTTTCTTTGTGTATTAAGACTTGACCAACATTGTAAGGAATTTGAATCCAATGCTGATGGTAGCATAACTTGCTTTAAAATTGTTAATGTTTTGTTCAAGCTAATTACCTGTAAATTCAATTTGTCATTTGTTAGGGTTTGTATATGTTTACAGAACATATCTTTTGTCTTCATCTTAGTGGTTTTTTTTTTTGAGAGTCTTGCTCTGTCACCCAGGCTGGAGTGCAATGGCGCAGTCTCAGCTCACTGAAATCTACACCTCCTGGGTTCCTCCTGGGTTTAAGCCTTTCTTCTGCCTCAGCCTCCCAAGTAGCTGGGACTAGAGGTGTGTGCCACCACCCAGCTAATTGTTGTATTTTTAGTAGAGACGAGGTTTCACTATGTTGGCTAGGCTGGTCCCCAACTCCTGACCTTGTGATCTGCTCGCCTTGGCCTTCCAAAGTGTTGGAACTACAGGCATGAGCCACAGTACCTGGCCTTAGATAAATCTTTTGTATCAAGATTTATTTTTATAGCATGCTATTTCCATCAGTTAAAATGTTTAATATTGTTTCACGTGTCTATCTGTTGCTACCAGTTATGTAACTAAATGATGCAGATAAAGAAAAGTTCAGCAGAACATAAAATATAGGGTGTAGAGGGGCTCGTTATAAGAGACATTTCTTTTGGAAGTAATAATATCCTGGCTACTGGGAAAATTAAAACTTTTTCTCCCATTTGTTTATCTTGTGAATCACCAGAAACCACACATTAATTTGTTCATGGGATCCGTCGCCAAAAGTTAAAAGAAAAAGAGTTTGACATCTAAACTCTTCATACTTACCTGTTTCAACCATGGGAAACAAAATTATACTATACTGCATTTGTAGTTGACAGACAGTATTTCATTTTTCTCTTTTTCTTTTTTCAGTGAGGTGACGTGCTGTAGGATTTTTATAAACATGTTCTTTATGAAGTTTCAGTTTCTGAATACAATCCTGCACCATCTCCAGATACTTTTAAGAAAAGAATAGGTGTCCTAACTTAAGTTGGGAGAGAGATGAATTGAAAATTTTGGGCTGGGCGCGGTGGCTCACGCTGGTAATCCCAGCACTTTGGGAGGTCAAGGCAGGTGGATCACAAAGTCAAGAGATCGAGACCATCCTGGTGAAACCCTGTCTCTACTAAAAATACAAAAAATTAGCTGGGCATGGTGGCGCGTGCCTGTAATCTCAGCTACTCAGGAGGCTGAGGCAGGAGAATTGCCTGAACCCAGGAGGCGGAGGTTGCGGTGAGCCGAGATCGCGCCATTGCA